GCTTTAGGAGGAGTTTAGTGTTTAGCCACACCATTGCAATCATCAAAAGGCCTAAAAAAAGGTATTTAATTAATCCTGATCCCTTGCACAGTATACCTAAAATTACTTTATATGAGTCTAATAGATCAAGAGCAGAGTTTGAATCTGAAGCACGAATCTAAGCTGATGTGGTATTGAAATTTATCATAGGCAGGCTCAATCATGCTGCAGCTGCTACTGCAAGCATCTTGGCCCGCCTAGACAGCTTCTTTAGATAATCACTATCATTATTTTTATCAAGTTAATTGTAGATGAGTTTCATGGAATTTCAAGTTCAAAGGCATCATCATGTCAAGATTCACTGACAAAACACTGTCTTCTATAAACCTTTTATAGTTTAGTGATTTATACTATCGTAGATGATATGATGAGTCTTTTTTAATATGTGAGAGTTTGACGGCTGAAGGTGATTTTATGCTGAACAGTGACACTAAAGTGTACAGTCAGTGTAATGTCAGGTTAGCAGTACATATGTTGAACAAGAATGCAGCTGGTATCATAATAAAAGAAATTTTATTAACACGGAAAAACATACAAACGGACGTGATAGAATTAAAGGCACACGTACATGTATATAGATATACATTTATGACTTTTATTGATGTAGACTCAACACCATTGTAGATATTGATGTTTTTATTGTGCCATTCTCTCTCATATGAAGCTAGTTCTAATCTATTGCATCTCATAAAGGCTCTCTGTCCTATTCCTAATGGTGTTCAAAAACAATTTTTGGTCTTTCTGAAAGGATATAAAGACGTTTTTTACCATAATGCCAAAGTCATGTGCATACGGCAGTCAGTGCTTTGACAATCTTTATGATCCCTCTGCTCTTAATTGCCCACTTGTAACAGTGAGAACAAGTCACAGTCTTACCATTTCACAAATAAACAACCAAACATTGTCATCGTTTAAAAATTAGATGTTATACGTATAATTGCAATTATCATTCATTATTGATAGGAAAAAGATTTTGATGCTTTGGAGTACAGGTTTACAAGATGCCTACAATCCAGTGCAACGTAGAAGATATGATGGAGAATACGCAAAAGCTTGGCAAAAGGCATCCTTTCGTATAAAAACATTTATATGCCTTTGGTATTTCAGTGTATCTCTCTTTTGGTAACAACGTAAGGCCTATATTCTTATAAATAAATGAGACTCCTCTTATGAGGCAATTAAACATAACTACATGTACATATTTGCAGCTTTTTGTTTATCACAGAAAGAGTCCAGAAAAAATGATCTTTGCAGGAATTTGGTTCGGTTTGTCACATCCCCGACTAACACCTTTATGAAGCCAATTAAAAATTTATTGTCATCTCTAGAAACATCATGTTGGTGGCAATTGTGGTAAAATATCTAAGTCAAAGCAGTGAAACATAACAAGCAATTCTTTAATTACTAGAAATGATAAATCGTGACCCAGATCTGTTGCCTAATATTACCCCTGGATACAATATCAGAGATACTTGTCAAAGTGAAAAGATAGCTCTTAATGAAAGTGTCGGCCTTGTCTTCACAATTGCTGATGCTGAATCTGGTACTTGCAAACCATTACAAACATCAGGTAATTATTATTTTAGTCAAGTACCAGTAGCAGCAATGATTGGTCGTCTATAAAAAAGCTTTATAACTTACAGTGGCCACTGGCCAGCCTTCTGCACAGTCAGCTCGTTGATATAGCTGTCTCATATTGACATCAGCTAGTCTTCTGTGCTGCAAATCAATCTTTTCAGTATCTCTACTACAATAGCTCTCTCTTTCACTGATTTATTTTTCCCCAAGGAGCTTGTACAGCCTCCCGGCTTGTGAGCCAATACAGACAAGTCATCTCTTGCTGCTTCTAATCCAGCATTTACTCCCAAATTATAGTGTTCCAATTGGTAGTTGTAGCTCAAACACTAAAAAGATTACTGGCAAGCTAGGGTGATAGAGAACATCATCCATCCACCCAACTTCCTTTCGATTGTTTGGTAGGTATAAGATGAATTTGTCTTTGCCTGTCCCTAGATCACTGAGAATACGACCGTCTCCGAGTCCAACCAGCTCTGGTGTTACGAATTCTTAATAATAGTGGAGCACATCTCTGTTGAATGTCATGTGTTGACTTGCTTCTCTATGTCAGCCATATCAGCATGATGCTTTGGTGGAGCCATAGTTGACCTTTGATGATATGAAGACTTGTGATCTGAGTATTGCTTATACTTGTAAGTACTGGGCTTCTAAGAGCTATGGCAATATCTTTGATAGTGACCAGGTCGTCCACATTATAAGCACACACAGGCTGTCGTCCTTTGTGTCTTCTTGTTAATGCCGTCTGATCTCCACCATTTCTAGTCTATCATTTTCCTCTTTGTCGAGCCATGCTCCTTTGCGGTTTCATCTGCTCCTGCCATTTTCCAGAGAACTATACAAACTATTCTACAGGGATTACCGTATCTGTTTACAATAACAATATACTAGTGACTGGGGAAACAAAGCAGTGCACCTCAAGAAATTAGATGATGTACTTGGTTGACTAGAGAAAGCAGGAGTTTGTCTCAAGAAGAAGTGCACTTTCTTACCAGAAGTGAAGTATTTGCGCCATTTGTTGTCAGCTCAAGGCCTACAGCCATCACATAAAAATGTCAAAGCTATAGAAGCTTTACCCAGACCAAAGGATGTTACTGAATTGAAATCATTTCTGGGAATGCTAACTTTTTAAATTTTTACCCTTATATAGCCAACACTTCATCTCCTTGTATATTTTGTTACAGAGGGGACAAAATGGATGTAGGCTAAAGAACAAGAAACAGGCTTTATTAAGGTAAAGAATCAGCTGGTCTCCTGTACTACTA